CAGAAAGCGCTGTGGAGCCCTTTAACTGTGCGTGCAGCACCAAATCTATAATTGAGGCAGTCACAGTGGAAGAAAACCCCAAACAACATTGGGGGGCATTTTAAAGGGGTTCCACGACACTTGCAACCAGTTCACAACAGATACACATGAACCCTGGCTGTAGGCGTGACCACCTGTGTATTTTTCCTGGATGACGCAATCACGTTAAATGTTACAGCCAATCACCGAAGCTAATCAACAAAAGACGATGCGTGTTTCGATACTCTGTAAAACCGAAGCATTTCAGTCAGTACCATAAAAGAATGTTCGGTACCCAGTCCTACTCTTGGGTATTTTCCTGTATTTCTTCAATCTCCCTAATCTCCACCTCCCCCTGCTTTCAGTCCCTGGATGACGACTGTACATTGGAGGAGGAAGATGATGGACTGATTGAGGAGGAAGATGAAATCGACCAGTTTAATGATGACACCTTTGGAGCCGGGGCCATCGGTGGGTCTTCTATGAAAAGTGTTCAATGTTGTTTTCTTCAAGAAAACAGTCACTTTTTTGAACTTTTACGGAATTTTCTTGAGGTTGAACTTTTTGAATTAGAGGTCAACAAGTATTTAATTCTTAATCTGAGGAGACAACCTTATTTGGGAGATATAATCTGTGTTTGTAAAGTCAGATTTGAGGATGAATGGATCCTGTCTGAACCAGTCACTACAATCTTTCTGCTTCCAGATGACGACTGGCAGGAAGAGCACAAACGCCTGGCGGAGCTCGATGAGCGGGACGGGTTAGGAGTCGGGCCGGGATTAGGAGGAGGAGAGGATGCCTCGTCCTCACTCGGTCTGCCTTCGTCTTCTGTTCAGCTCTCCTCGTCTTCCTCTGGGCTGCCAACACAAGGTTAGAAATATTTATAAACTTAAAATTCCCAGAACCTGATCTTTAAATTTCTGTTAGTCCAGACTGTTAACAAAAAGTTTCAATTTCAGATGTGGACGAACGATCGGGGGGAAGCGACTTGGCCGAGTCTCTGGCTCGGTTCATTCTGGACGCCGACCCGGCAATCGCTGGGGTCGGGGCAGCAGAGAGGCCCGCTCCCTCTCCCGGCTCTGCGGGGTCGGTTCTGTCTGCCCTGCGAGGACTGGATCAGTCCAGAGTCCTGCAGCAGCCCTCCTCCATGGCTCCAAAGCAACCCCCCCAGCACCAGCTTCCCCAAGGAGGCTCAGGTGAGGGGAGGTCGCCTGTCTTAGTTTGAGTAAAACTACCTGATATTTTATCTGATTTTGAATCTAGATTAACTTTCTGTAAAACTCTTTGGCTTGTGTGTATATATAGTGTATGGGGTGATTTTTGTTCCATTATTTTTATCAAAGAGATTTTTTTTGTAAATGGGAATCACACAATACAATCTGGAAGTTAAACTTTGAAAATGTTTTAAGCAAAAAATTGGTTATGCAAGTATTTTTTTTTCTTTTCAGGTGTTAATACAGACTATTTATTTCAATTTAAAGATAAATTTTCCTTTACTTGTGGGGGCGGGCTCCACATGCAAAATGAAGACTCTTTTCTGTTGGTCTGCCGGTTGTTAGCAACAACATTTTTATTGGTCGACTTCCAGCGTTTTTATTAGGTTTGAAGTGAAGAGAATTCGATCTGTAAAATACAGTGTGAAAATAATACAATTCATACAACTTTATCTGATCACGAGCAGTTTGAAAAAAAATTTAAATTTAAAATAAATTTTAATAAAAAAATTTGAGAAAATGCTCTTAAAAAGTCTGCTGTTAAAACCTGTTTTTGCATAAAACGCTTTTGAAAGTTTCATGTCTGGATTGCAATTATTGTTTTTTATTTTATTTCGATTAACAAAAAAAAATCGTTGGTGAAAAAAAATTCACTCCTTTTAAATGAACCTAAAATGTTTATAAAGCCTGAATCCACACTTTTATTTATTGTTTTTAAAAGTTGGTAATGAGGCTTAAAGAGCGGGTTATAGATATTAGAGCAGATCTGCTTTTTTTCTGGGAGATTTTCACTGTTTTAACTGTTTCTCCTCTGCAGGCCTTCCTCCCCCCTCCATGCTCAGCTATCAGCAGCAGCAGCACCTGCTGCTCCGAGGTTCCGCTCCAATGAGTCAGGTCCGTTTCTATCCCCCGGTTCCACTTTGTTTCACATTCCAGACATTACTGTGTCTTTCGTTTGGTGATTTCGTCATCAGCCTGCGGACGATAACAGATATTAAACCTGTGGCTAAAAGTGATGCTGAGCTCTCAGACAGCAGCTCTCTGACGCGCTGCAAATGTCTGCAGCTACAGGGTCACTAAACTTGACCCGTGTTTTTTTTTTTTTTTTTT